ACAAGACTGGATTGTGTCCTGAGGCAATCTCTTGAGATATAAAAGAGAGAAGTGAGCAGAGAGACAGGGGGACCTCATACCATCAAGAAAGCAGCGCCGGGAGCAGAGCGTGTCCTTTGGACAGGGGTCCCTGCACCAAGAAGGTCCTAGTCCGGGGGAACACTGTCTTGCTTTCACGTCCACAGATACGTCCACAGATACTGATCTCAAAGGCATAAACTAATAAACATCATGCATGCAAAACAGTGTCAGAGTCTACTGCTCAGAGCATCCAATGTGTGAAAAGTTTCGTCTTCAACTAAACATCTCTGCATTGCTTCAATCTCAACATGTTCCAAGCTGAATTTATCATTTTATCTCCAGTTTCTCCCCGACTTTAATTTCCTTGTATCTGAGAATAACATCACATTATCTTCTCCTTATTTTGTATAGAAAACAGTGATACTTTTGACTCTTCCATAATCATTCCACTACTTCCAATTTTGCATTAAATTTTGATATTTCTAATCCAACACTTCCTTTCTGTTTTCACTGCCAGGACTATTGTCTGGGCTCTTGTCACCTGATATCTGAGTTACTGTCATTACTTGGTCACCTGGTCTCTTATATCCTATCCTGTTCCCTCCTACATATTATTTATAAATCAGTTTTCCTAAATAATCAGTTTTATGAAATCATTTCTCTACTCAAGATTATCTGGTGGCTTCATAGTTCATAAACTCTGGAAATGTTATTATTAGTTTCACGTGTATTTGTCTTCATCTCCAACCTGTAAACTCCTAGGATTGAGACATATTCAATCGATGTGATAGCAGCAGGAGACGTCAATGATAAAAGTCCAATGTTTTATACCTGAATGCCTAAATTTGAAGAATAATATGTAATAAACATTACCCTCAGAAATTCATATTCTTAAACTTAAAAAAAGCTAACCTTGTTTACCTACTGTTATTTCTTACCATTGCTATTTAAAAAAAAGAAAACGATTGCCTTGGAGTCGATTCTGACTCATGGTGACCCCATGTGTTTCAGAATAAAACTGCTCCATAAGGTTTTCAAAGCTATGACCTTTCAGAAGCAGACTGTCAGGCTTTTCTTCTGAGATGTCTCTGGGTAGGTTCGAACTGCCAACCTTTTGGTTAGCTGCTGAACACTTAATTAACTATTTGTACCACCCAGGGACTCTTATCATTGATATTACAATCTCTTAATTCTGACTGTCAAATATTTCAGTAAATTATAGGGAATGAAAGATGGGAATTTGAGTGATTAACAATAAAATTAAACTTAATCAAATTCATTGTTTCCTTTTCTTAATATATGATAATTTGGTAACGTTTTAAAATGTCATTTATAAAATAACAAGTTAGTGTCAAGATTTCATTTTAAGTATTTCGTATTCTAAAATGCTTAACATTTTTTAATTGTTTTCTTCAAATCAGGATGTTCATAATTTGTTGGCAGTTGCCATTAAGATGCATTGCCAGTGTTAAGGAAAGCTACTGGCAAGAGGGATGTCTTACCTATCTAGTGCTGCTAAACAGAAATACTACAAGCGGATGTCCTTGAAAAATAGAAATATATTCTCTCACAGTCTAGCAGGCTAGAAGTCCAAATCCAGGGTGACAGCTCTGGGGAAAGACTTTCTGTGTTGGCTCTGGAGCAAGGTCCTTGTCATCAATATTCCCCTGCTTTAGGAGCTTCTCAGCATAAGGACCCCAGGCCCAAAGGACACACTCTGCTCCTCAAACTTCTTTTTTGGTGGCATGAGGTCCCCATCTCTCTGCTTGCTTCTCTCTCCTTTTATCTCTTGTAAGATAAAAGGTGATGCAGGCCACACCCCAGGGAAGCTCCCCTTACATTCAATCAGGGCTGTGACCTGAGTCAGGGTACTACATCCCACCCTAATCCTCTTTAACATAACCTAATCTTGCCTCATTAACCACATGCAGAGATTACGATTTACAACAAAGCATAAATATGTCAGATCACAAAATATAGGACAATCACACAATACTAGGAATCATGGCCTAGCCAAGTTGACACACATTTTTGGGGGACACAATTCAATCCATGACAAGGAGTCTCACTCAGAAAGATATGTTGGATTCTCCCAGTGGATAACTGTGTCAAGAAACAAAGAATTGTGTTAATTTGAAGAATAATTCTCTGAGAAAATTCTTCTCTTCACCATTTCCTAAAGAAGGCTATCATTTTAATGCCATGAAGCAATGATACGTCTGCAAATCAGACACTTGGAATGTCTGATTTTATTTTAAGACTGTATAGATGATTAGAAAGCAGCCCACAACTTTGTCTCAGTATGAATCTGTCTTGTTGAAACATCTGATCTTCAAAGGTTAATGGAACAATTAAGCCTTTTTCTTTTTCTACACAAGGAAACAATAAAATTACACAACCACTGTGATATACGCATGTAAGACCCTCTCCCTCTTAATGGGAGAGTCTGTCCTATAGTTTAGTCTACTGATGTTGACACATTCCAAAGCTACCACTATTGACAAAAGCATTTTAGGACCTACAATCCAAGCAGACAGTCTAGGTGGTTAGTGACAACATCTCATAAAATCCCTTCTGGAACAGGAATATGCCAGTTTCCTCATTTTAACTGTCACGAAATAATTGGGAATGCTGAAAGAATCCAGGTACCCCGTAGGGAAGTAGGTAAACCCTGTTCACAATTGGAGTAGAAATACTTAGAGATCTCAGTCCTTTCCAATGGCCTAAAGGTCCCCAAAAAGCTGGACTATAAAGCAGAAGCTCATCTGTGGAATCAAGAGTACCCAGCGAATTGCTAGTTACTTCTATTGTACATTAGCCCATACCAAGCCAGGGTTCAAAATGAACAAGACAAGGTCCACCACCCCTGAGGAGTTCACTGTCACTTATTAATTCAAACATTTAGTCATCCATCTAATCTTTTTGCTAGCTGCTGTCAAGTCAGCTCCAACTGATGGCAACCTCACGTATAACAGAATGAAAACGATGCCCAGTCCTGGGCCATCTTCATGATCACTGACATGCTGGAATCCACTGTTGTGGCGACTGTGTATTTTGAGCACCTTCCAACCTAGGAGCACCTTCCAACCTAGGGGCTCCAGCATTATATCTGACAACTTTCTGTTGTAATCCATAGAGTTTTCATTGGCTAGTTTTCAGAAGTAGACCACCAGGCCTTTCTTTTAGTCTTAGTTGGAAAGCTCCTCTAAAACCTGCCCACCATGGGTGACCCTGCTGGTATCTGAAATAGCAGTGGCAGAGTTTTCAGCATGGTGGCAATACACAATCCACCACAGTATGACAAACTGACACGTGGAGGAATCAATATTTACCATCATATTATATTTATTATTACAATAATATAATTCTGAGCGATTACTCTGTGCCAGGCACTGCTCAGACCCTACCCAATGTAGAGACAAGCATGCACACATACCAAAATACCAGTATAAGACATAATGATCAGGTGTCCTTGTGAACACTTGATTTTGACACCAACTTGCAGAGCAAAAAAAGAATAACCTCCTCAAATGCCATCTCCTTCATGAAGCCCTTTCCTATTTAACCCAAACGGAGGTGATTTCTTTTTCTTACATTTTCACTTCTAATGGCACTTGGTACTGTACCTGTGTGGTCATGCAGTTAAGAGCTTGACTACTAACCTAAAGGTTGGCAGTTGGAACCTACCCAGAGGTGCCTCGGAAGACAGACCTGGGCATCCGCTTTCGAAAGCTCACAACCTTGAAAACCCTATGAAGCAATTCTACTCTGCACACATGGGGTCGCCATGAGTCAGAATCTGTCATGTATACTGTTTCTTGTTTCCCCCTGACCAGCCCACTACATTGTAACTGTGCAAGCTTAGGATTTGAGATTCGTATCCCTGCAGAGATAGTATTATACCTTGCATATTAATAGTGGCTCACATACTGGTTAAATTGCTTCTTGAATTCTCCTTACTGAAGAACAGGCGGGGTGAGGCAGAAGGGCACAACCAGGCGGCCACGTGATCACGACCCAATCCCCCGGTCCAAAATGCCGACTCCGGCGGCAGGGGGCGCTGGCGTGCGACGGGGTCGGGCCCCCGGTACCGCCCAGCAAGGAGCCAGACTACAGCCGACGCCATGCGCGCGCTGCTGCCGCTACTGCGCACAGGCTGGGGCTGGCCTACCGGCGCCCTCGCCGCCGCTCTCCGGCTGCAGGGACCGTGCTCACGGCCAGGGCCGCGCCGCGCCATGGCCGTGTACCGCACGGAGGAGCACGGCCAGCCCCACTCGCGCGATTATCGCCTCTTTTTCAGTAAGTAGCTCGCGGAAGTACTGCCTTGCGGGGCGCCGGAGGCACCTCGGGGGTGGGACCAAAACAGCCTCCTGCGGCCTCCTTCCTCCCCCCTCCGGGCCACCGCGGTCACCGCCTCTTCCTGCCCGCGGAGGCTCACGCGGAGCTTCGGAAACTTCCTGCGAGGCGGGCGGATTACGACCCCAAGTGTGGAGCGGCCCGCGGCCGCGGTGTTCTCAGCGTTTCCCTCCGTTTGGCCAACCGCCCTCCGCAGGCCGCTGGCGGAGCGCAAAGCGCTCGCAGCCGACCGGCCGCCGCCTCCTCACAGCCTTTTGGGGAGCTCCGGCCGCCGTCCTGCGTTTAGTTAATGAAAGGAGAGGTACAGAATCAGAAAAACGCCTGAGGGCCCCCTGCAAGTAGAAAGGCAGGCGGCACATCGGAAACGTCTAACCTGGCGGTTCTTTATCTTTGTCGGGACACTGATGAAGGATCTTCTCCCAGAAACATGACTTTATACTCACAAGTTTGCACTTTGAATGCGATGCAAGAGCCCCTTTGGCTGGTGATGGGTCTCCAGTGGAGCTCCACCCTAGTATGAACAAACCCAGAGGGCGAAGTTACCTTATGGGGCGCGGAGCTGGCTGGCTGGGACGGGAAAGGTCCCAGGTCTCCCTGACTCATTTTTGTTTGCATCCGCTATTTCACTGTGTAGACAAGCTGTAAAGTGAAAATGGCGAGGTCATTTGAATTGCCTTCGTGCCTCGTTGACTTTAGATCCGTGAGAGGAGTAGTACCTTATGTCTGAAGGGCGTGCCCTGCAATATCTCGCACCTGCTAAGAACACCGTTTTGGAGCCTTTCAGATTTAAACTCTTTTAGCTCTGTGCCTCCGGGCAAGTTTCTTAATTTGCAAAGCCTTGGCTTTTCTCATTTGTAAAATAGGGCTGTAAAAATTACATAGCATCATCTACATGTTTGGTCACAGGGCTTAGACTAGAATTACTATTATTAATAATACCTGTAATCATTATTGATACCTACGATTTATAAAATGTTTACACTTATCCTGACTAAGCTTAGGATGGACGAGGATTTTAGGGGAAAGAAAACTGAGTTTGCCTAAAGTCTTCTGATTATGATGATTATACTAGAATTCACATTTTCTTCAAGAAGGTTTTTTTCGCCCTTCATGGTAAAGGTTGGTCATGTGGACAGGAACCGTTTACAAGAAGTCCCAGATTTCAAAATGAATTCTGTTGCAAAAGATTCAATGTGATGGCCACAGAGAGTAGTTTTCTACAGAAACAATGTTATAAAATGGTGAATTTTTAAGCAGATAAAAACCTGTCTAGCCTGTCTAGCCCATAATAGGAGCCCTGATGGCCAGTCGTTAAGAGCTTGGCTGCTAACCAAAAGGTTCACAGTTCGAATCCACCAAGCTGCTCCTTGGAAACCCTATGGGGCAGTTCTACTCTGTCCTACAGGGTCGCTGTGAGTCGGAACCGACTTGATGGCACATAACAACAGCAAGCCCATAGTATGGTGAAAGTATTCTAGATTTGCAGTAAGTTCAGTAACCAATAGTAAACAACAGAATAGTAATAAATATTTATGAAGTCTGCTAGACATTGTTAGGTGTGGTACAGATGGGATTTAGTTATAGCCCTGCCCTCAAGAGATTTATAATATATAATTAAAGAAAATATAAAAACACTGAAGTATATTTTGTTTGCATGTTAGTTGAGAAAAAATAGGCTTGATGAGCATGGAGCATACACTGTAGTGGACTGAGCCCTGGATTTAGAATGGGCCGACGGCGGGAGGACTCCCTATGCCTTAATTCCAGCTCTGCCATTAACTCTGGGGATGTGCTGTTGGGCAGGTGACGACTTCATTTCTCATAACCATAACTAGTCATTGAGTAGATTCTGATTCATGGTGACCCCCATATGTGTCCGAGTAGAGCTGCACCCCATAGGGTTTTCAATGGCTGAGATTTTTCGAAAATAGATCTCCAGGCCTTTCTTCTGAGGCACTTCTGGATGGATTTGAACTGCCACCCTTTCAGTTAGCAGCCCAGTGCGTAAACTGCACCACCCGAGGACTCCATTTCATTTCTCAGGGGACCAGTTTCTTCAGCTGTAAAATGAAGCAGTTGACCTAACAGTGGTCTGCATGGACTTTCTCAGTTTTGATATTCCATGAAGGCATACAGATTCTAGCAAGGAACTTGGCGGCGTTTCTGAGGCTATATTGGCCTCTGACTGTGGTTCGTTTCTTTAGTTGTAAGTATATTTCAGATTTGTGTTTTTTTCCTGTAACTAGAATGGCAGATAATAAGATAGTATTTTTTATTCAGTTGGAACAAAAAGGGCAGAAAAGAAGAAAAAAGGTTTTACTGAGGTAAATGGCAAGAATTGGAAGAAAGGGGAGTGTGGTTTTAGGGAAGGAAGTGTTGAGATGGTAGTTGGAAGGTATATTGGACTAAACAGTTCCTGAAGTAATCACCAGATGGCATCCTTCGCCCAGGACTGTTGGCTGGAAAGGGTAGGACAAGTGAAAGGAGGCTACTTCGGGGTGAGTGGGGTAAGGGGAAAACAATGAACGAAATGCTTTCTGTAAAGATGTTCACAAATTGGATATCTTTAATGCACACTGTCTATAAGCAGCACTAGGGTGCAACTCTTTCACTTCAGTGAAAAGCATATAGCATTCAGAGTTACTAAAGTAGAATCATTTCCCACATTTTCAAATATGACCCAAGTCTCTGAAAGACTAGTGAAATGGAAGGTAGAACATTTTTAAGCATCATCTCTGTAAATGGGTACTTTTTCTCTGTAAATGGGTACTTTTTACTGCCGTTCAGAAGAATCAGAATAAGTGATTGATGCAATACTCATGAAGCATTGCTTGTGCAATGTTGAAGTAAGACAGGATGATACAGGGGAAGAGCATCCTGGTGGCAATCAACAGGCCACCTTGCTGCCAGCCCTGACCTGCTAGCAACTTTCTGTGTGACTTTGAATAGGTCACTTAACCTCTCTGTATCTCATTTTATTGAACCGTGAATGAGGAGATTGGACTAGATGATTATTTTCCAAACTGCTTAGTTGTGCATAAGCATCCCAGGGAATGTTATTATGGTTTCTTTAACAAAATAAAAAGTTGGGGAGGGGGTGCTGCATGGTTTAATAAATTAGGAGAACACTTCTCTTTTGTTATTATCTTCTTGGAGAGTCACAATATACATATTAAAGTTCTGGGAAATTCTTATGTAAATGGTCCCAAATTTTTGAACCGCAAAGCCCTTATTCCTCAGAACATTTATTAGGCTCTCAGTGACACTAGAATTTCATGGAATTCAGTTTGGGATGCACTGAGTGGGATGATTTCTGAAACTTTTGGAAGCAGTGGTTGCGGCAGCGACAAAGTTCTCGATGAACAGTCAAAATGCTCATGTTGTCATATTGGCTTAGGTCATCTTGGTCAAGTTACTTGATCTTGATGTCACTTAGTTCAGTTTTTCCATCTGTAATAATGGAGCTCTCGCACACACACACACACACCCCACCCGATTGCTGTCAAGTCAATTCCGACCCACAGCGACCCTATAGGACAGAGTAGAACTGCTCCATAGGGTTTCCAGGGAGCGGCTGGTGGATTCAAACTGCCAACCTTTCAGTTAGTAGCCGAGCTCTTAACCACTGAACCACCAGGGCTTCAAAATGGAGATAGCACTAATAATTTTAAAGAATTGCTGTGGCAGTTAAATGAGACCATGTGTGTAAAAGTTATCAGTGTCTCACACATGGTAGATATTTAACATATGTTATTTCTTTTTCCCACTAGGCTTTAAGGCATAAGACCAAAATTCTTAACTGTTACGTTCTGTGAAGGGTGAGAATAATGGAATGTAGATAATACTGACTGTTTTGACTATGTCCCAATATATTAATTCCTAGATCTCAGAGTTTTAAGGGTACTGACTGCCCTGTAGTTTCTTGAATTAATTGTGAAATTAATAGGAAGTTGGAGTTGTTTATGTGGAACCAGAGACCTAGCACTGTATGACAGTGTTCCCTTCACATCCTGCTTGTGTTGTTCTGTTTGGTTTGTTTGTTTGGCAATTTAGATTTTTTAAAGCTTTTCTCAGAAGATTGGGAGAAGCTATGCTTTCCATAAGTTGGATTTTTATTGCTATGGGATAGATCACTAGTTCACTTAGGGAAACAGTGCTGTGGGTAATTTGTTTTCATTTAGCATGGAAATGAATCATGCAGTTCTTTAACGAAGAATTTACTTTGTAGTAAGCATATGCTTATGTTGAAAGTACTGTAGGTTTCTTTTTTTCAGTACTTCATTTGGGTAGTAGGTGGGTGGTGGGTGGGATCTGCCATTGAATGTACCGCACATTTGGACTTAATGAAATTGCCTGTGAATAATCCATAAAATGTGTGTTTGAGACGTAATACACGAGTACCTGTACCTTTCTTTAAGTTGGCCCGTATCATAGAACTTGAATTGACACAATGTAACAAAATGGATATTATGTGAATATAGAAAGAAAAAATATATATGGATTTGGTTATCGGTCGATAAAACCTTAGTTTTAAAACAGCTTAGTTTTCTGAACGAGTGCTGTGAAATCCAATCTTCTTGTGATCTAATTGGAAGAGAGGACACATTTTTATTAAAGTCGATTTTTAAACTTTTTTATATTTCTTAATCTTTTGATCAAGAAATGAAAATAAAACAAAGCCAGTTTAGTCATTGCTAAAGCTTACAATACGAGTCTAAATGGTTTTAGTAATAGTATGTTGGTACTTGGCATATGTGTAGCTATCCATATATAAAATCCAGTATATATTTCACATTCCATTCAATTTTCTTACTTGTTAATACGAGTAATAAACTTATCCTGATGTAACTTGTTCTTATGAGAGAAACACATAGATAACTTACAAAGTGATAGAATAAAATCTTATTTCAGACCAGTTGAAGGGGAAGTTTTGACATTGTTTG